GATATAGATATAGCTATAGATATAGACAGGCATACGCACAGCGAACCCCGCACGTTGGGACATGGATTAAACCGACTCACTCATATTGGTGCAAGGATTCCTTTCGCTCTACCTTAATTAATGGCATGAGGATAATGATGCTCCAGCTTTCTGGCTTCTTGTGTGCATACGTATATATGAATATGGACAACATATATGTCATGACAACCAGAACTCCAGGTCGCCTCTGTTCTCGCTTGAGCTCGTAAAGTCTCGCTCCACTCGGCCATCAGTCCACCAGTCGTGGTTTCCTGCCCAACTTCAGATCTCAACTCCTGATAGATCCAAATTTAGTGGCGAAGAAGGACACTCTAGCCCCAGAGCCTACGAGAGTCGATGACTTGTTCCCGAGCTGCACGGTAGCTTGTTCGCATATGCAAAAAGTGGCATGACAAACATGCTCGTCCTGTGATGACGTGCCAATCACGATTCAGTGAGTTGTAGGCCAAGTACACCTTTCAGTTTCGTGGAATTCGTGGTGGTAGGGAACGACCACAATCGTTTGGCGCATCATCTACGCTGTCAGCCAAAGATGCATAGCCTCAATGTCGCCCTGACACCTTTAGGCTGCAGGGCCCTCCGATCACGAAGAACAAAATGAATGATATAATCCCTGCGTGGGTCATGATGAAAGTCGTGCATCATACATATGGAGGCACATCACGCCACCAGCGCGCCACAGTCCAAGGACTGTTTTCCGCACCGTCTGGATAGATGTTGTCGCCTTGCCGATTTGGACATCGGCAGGGTCTGCGGGTCGAAATCGGGCACAAACGAAGCGCTTCTTGCGAAGAAGCAGCGTAGGTTCAAGAGCTTTGGGTCTAGTGTCGAGCTCCGGTCGCAAGGCCATAGTCTTGAACACAGCACAGTATCCCTAAAAGTTCTGAGCGTGTCACTGTGATCCTCAAAAGAAACCCTTCCTTTCGCATTGCTCAGGCGCCGATGGCTGCCACTGCCGCAGGCTGCCGGGCCCCAGCTACCGCAGCAAGGCCCTGGGCAACTGAAGCCTGGCTCCGCGTTTCAGAGCGACCGGGTTCAGGCGGCCTGGCTCCGCGTCTGCGCATTTTGCAACAGAAGCTTCATGCTTTAACAAGCTGCGATGGCAGATCCCTCATTGGAACCCAAAGTGCGCCTCTGTCCAAGCAAAATGAAAACCTGAAGCCTTGAGCCCTGCTAAGATCTTGTGGAGTTTGCCCTGCCCAGTTGGAGCCGCCTGGCGAGCGTCTCTCGTGCCATGGTCGCCCATCACCAGAAGCTCGACGCATCCTTGCCGGGTTGGGGCTGGGGCTGGTTTTCAGGCTAAGGTTTCAGGTTTCGCTAGAGTGATATTCAAAATTCTCTACGCCCCCGAACCTGAAACTTGAGATGCCGCTGTCTTGGGCACGAAGGCACACATGTCAACAGTATTCTGAACTGACGAGTTTGCGGGAAATCTCGGCTGTCTTGTAAAGGTCGGTTCTTGGAATTGCCAAGTCTTTCTGGTAATTCAGAGCACCTCGCAGTTTGCAGGAACGGCACGGCTTTATCGGCTTATCGCCCCACCCCTACCTCTGCAGTGACCTGAAGCTGGGCCGGGCGCTTAAGTTGTACCAGACACGGAGACTTTACTCGTGAATGAGACCGTTTGCAGCTTGCACCTGGTGTTCTCCATTACCCAAACCTCGGCCCTGAACCAAGAGCTTCTCAAGGCAGTGCACGACCAAGGCACTTAGATTCCGGCCTAAGAATATTCATGACTGTGACATGAACTATCTGGCGGCCTTTTAGTGAGACTCATGGCTTGAAGCTCGGTCAGCAAACTTCGGCTACTGTTCAACTGTGCTACTAACAATCTGCAACGCGAGGATTTCAGTGGTCCGACGTTCATCCCCAAGAGACGTGCGGGCGCCTCCGCTGACCGCAAGAGGTAGCAGTGCGAGCCTCCCAGGACAGATCACTTCTTGCAATGACTTGGACACTGCGGCTTCGGCGATGGGGGTGCGACTTCTAAAACGTCGGCCTTAGCAGCACAAAGAAAACAAGCAATAGGTTCGACAATGCTCGACATACTTGTACTCGTAAACCATGAATGCACGAAACCAACTAAGCACCACTCAACCTACTTAGAGCGACGCCCACCGCACGCTTGCTCATGCCGCCTTGATGTTGGACCGAGGGCAGTGTGCAGTATGATCAACCGTGAAACATTGTCAAGTGATACAGAGAAGGCATTGTCAGCGTGAAGTTCAAGAGCATTCACTAGCAGTGCCGCCATCACTGCTACAGTGCTGCTACAACTTACAAGCACGGAGGCGACTTTCGATGCTTTTGCAACTGCTGCTGCTATTGCTACTGCTAC